GGGGGCTCGAGGACCTGGCTGCCAACCACGCGCGCCTCTTCGGCGACGGCCGGCCCTGGGGCTCCTTCACGGTGCTCGACAACGCCGCCTGGTTCCAGGAGCAGCACCTCGTGGACTTTCTGGCCACCATGGGCGGCCACTTCCGCATGGGCACGCTGCTGAGCCGCCTGAGCGTGCAGAGTCGCCTCAAGAGCCCCGAGGGCATGAGCCTGGCCGAGTTCTTTTACCAGGTGCTGCAAGCCTACGACTTCTACCACCTCTTCCGGCACTACGGCTGCCGCGTGCAGCTCGGCGGGGCGGATCAGCTGGGCAACATCGTATCGGGCTACGAGTTCGTCCACAAGTAAGCGTGGGTTCGAGCCCCCGGGAATCCAGGGGCGAGTGCTCGCCGGCTTGTAGCCCCTTACCCGTGAGGAAGATGCTCAGAGAAAGATGCTGCCCTTGCGAGTTAGAAGGTCTGAGTTATGGGGGTGTTGCAGAACTGCCGAAAGCCGGCCACTTAAAGATTGGGATTGTGTCTGAGTCACCCTCAGTTTCTAACTTGAGAAATTGCTTTTCTGATTTATACCTGAAAATAGTTGAACTTTTGTTCTTTTAGCCCTTCGCCCCGTAAGGATTTTCACAACATTTTTTAGAGGAACTTGGAAGGTAGGGCTGGCTCGTGTGCTACACGGCAAAATCATAAGAAACAAAAACTTCTTACAAAGCACCTCCTAAATATACCTTCCTAGTGCCCCTTCACCCAATTTTGTCTTTTTTCCACCTGATCTTTCAAAATCACTTCTTGTAGGTTTCGCGCAATCGCAGTTCAGCATGACAGATCTAAGTAACTATAAAGTGATTGATGCTATAGTTCCTAAGGACTAGAGTCCAGATTGAGAGGGGTATTTAAAAACAAAAAAACAACAACATAGTAAGTAACCAGACTCAAATCTGAATTTTGCTTGGTGGACCTGATTGTGCTTACAGAATACCGTGACTGTATGTGTAGGTTGACCGGAGAAGATGTATTCGGAATCACTGTCCCACTGATTACAAGTACAACTGGAGCAAAGCTGGGGAAGTCGGCTGGCAACGCCGTCTGGCTAGACCGAGAGAAGACATCACCATTTGAGCTTTATCAGTTCTTTGTCAGACAACAGGATGATTCTGTAGAAAGGTGAGCTTTTAATTGACAGCTGAGAAAAATTAATATGTAGCTGTGATTTAGTCTTAGCTATTGAACCTTCAGTCTTTGTAGATTTTTTTTATGTTGATTCTACTTACGGTGTCTTCACAGGATATTGCCGTTTGACTGTCATGATTTGTTTATTTTTACACTACTAGAGTTGAACCCAGGGTTGAACAACTTTTAGGCAGGTGCTTACCATTGAGCTGTATACACCCCAGGCCTGAAAAAAAATTCAGATGTTGTGAGTTGCCCAGGACAGCCTCTGACTTCTGTCTTCAGCGGTGTCCAGCTGGGATTACAGACTGCACTGGTGTGCCTGGCAGCGGTGAGGTTTCCCCATGCTCTTCCTTTTACATGCTAGATGAGCATGACACCACACCCCAGTCCTTCTGGGTACTGTTTGCTGCTTAAAATAGAAACTACAGTGACTGGCTAGAAAATTTCAATCCCAAGTCTTTTTTATCTCTATCTAGCAAGTACATAGGATTGTATTTATCACTTGCACATTCTTAGTTATTCACTCTTTTTATATTAGCAACCTTTCCCTTTGTCTCATCTCACAGCTACGACTCTCCAGTTTCTTTTCTGTAGTGTACCATCAAACACCTTTAGGTTTTCCTCTGCTGGCGAAAGGTACCTGTGATTCCAGTCGTGGGAGAGGCTTAGGCTGGGCGTCTCTTTAAGTTCCAGGCTGTCTTGGGCAGCATCCTGAGACCCTCCTCTCCTCACTAAATCTAAACAATGTACAACATACAGTTTCATTTGCAAAGATACTTTAAAAAGCCAGCTCCTTTATTTTTACTTAAGTTTTGCTTAATTTTTAAATGTGGTAAATCAGTCTTTTGAGCCGTGTAATTTAGTCACAAAATCCTCTGGTAGCTGTTGTGAAGATACCTAGTCATGAGTCTCAGTTGTGTACTGTACCTTAATCTTAATAAACCCACTCATCTTGTTTCGCTCTGGTTGGTCTCCTCAAGTCTTCTGTGGTATGATCAAGGATTCTTTCCCCGAGTGCAAATGTCAAAGGGAGAAGAACTTCTCAGTCAGACGCTGGTCTTTGTCTCCTGTTGCACCAATGACAGTACCAACTATTCCAGAATGATGGGGGAATGAACTTAGAGGTCTTTGAAATAATAGTTGTACATAAGCTATGATCTGACGCAATCTCTACTGGGCACATGCCTAACAGAAACTCATGCATGTGTGTACCAAGAAAAGTATGAGGTATTCATGGCATGATTATTATGTTAAAAGTAAACACGCAGTGCCCACAGTGGAGTATTAGTAGCTTGGAAAGCTATGCTTGTGATCTCATAAATCTCCTGAACATGCTGGTGTGTCAGAGTAGTTAGACAAAAAAATGTATTTTGCACGATTTTATTCATAATCTTGTATTTCTTAAGAGGATCACATCATTGCTTTAGAATGCTTCATTAAGCTTTTTTCTACATAGCATTTTGCAAAAGTTAACCTACAGAATACTATTCATGTCAAATTTTAAGTTACACGTGCTTTTTAAGGATACACATAAAACAAAAACATCAAAGTTTGCTCCAGGAGGCATACAAATTATCTCTTGGCATTAAAAAGGGAAGGCGATGGGGCTGGAGTCTTTATTTTTATACCATTTTGTTACTTAAAGAACGTGGAAAACAAATACTGGAAAATATTGTCCACTAGGGTAGTACATATCTAAGTGTATAGTTTAAGTACATGAAGTACAGTTTTTCTTCTCCTGAGGGAGCTAGTGGACAGGGCACATCTAATGCATCATTCCTTGTCTTGCAGGTACCTGAAGCTCTTCACTTTCCTTCCCCTTCCAGAGATCGATCACATTATGCAGTTGCATGTCAAAGAACCAGAAAAGCGGGGTGCTCAGAAACGACTGGCTGCAGAAGTAACAAAGCTTGTTCATGGACAAGAAGGTCTGGACTCTGCTAAAAGGTTGGCTTTAGAATAGTTAATGCTCCCACTCCACAACACAGTTCTACACAGAAGGCACGGAGAACATCTTGGAAGAAAGGGAGGAAAGAGTATATCAGAGGCAGAGGACTGGAAACTGGCATGGCTGTAAGATTGTGTCCCCTAGAAATGACAGAGAAGCTTTACCCACAGTACAATAGGCTGCCTAAACAAGTGTAATACTAAGTGTAATGCTAACATGGAAGGGGGAAATCTCACGAGGCCCTGCCCCTCAACAAAGAACTTCAGCAACTTGGGAATGCTGAGAGGAGAAGTTAATGCTTATTGAAATTTAGTGGCTAGACAAGAAAAATTGGAGATCATCTTTTAGGAGTTTCTCACGACTAACCTGGACTGTATTTAACTTTAGTATTTTAAAATTGTCTTTCTTGGACAGATCTTTAAGTTAGTGAATTGCACAAAATAGATGTTGCTGAATGAAAACCTACACTGTGGAACACAGTGGGCATTCCATAATTGTTTGAAGGTGGGGTGTAAGCAGCCCTGATGTGGTTTAATATTTTCCAGGTGTACACAAGCCCTTTACCATAGCAGCATAGAGGCACTGGAGGTCATGTCTGACCAAGAATTAAAAGAATTGTTTAAAGAAGCTTCATTTTCTGAATTAGTTCTTGACCCTGGAACAAGTGTCATCGATACATGTCGCAAAGCAAATGCCATTCCAGATGGTCCCCGAGGGTAAGATTTAACTTTGATCCTTAGTTCACAATGAAACGTTGCACTTGACAGCATGTTTCCAGAGTGTTTTCCCGATAGTGCTTTCAGGTAACTCATTTCCTGCAGAAGTTAGGGCCATATAGTGAAAATGCCTTGATCGCGCTGTAGAGGACAGTGCTCCTTCATTCAGTATTTCTCTGGGATCAGTCAGCTCAGGTTTGGTCACATAAGTGAGACGATTCTCAGGACTTCCCTCTTAAAAAATTTAATCATTGAAAAGAAACGAACATAGAAACAGAACTTCATAAAGCTTATAAGCTATAGACTATTCCCTTTGGGAATTACATTTTTCTGCTTATTGCAATTCCTCAGCCCTACCATATTATTAGGGTACTTGCTCTACAAAAAGTGATCTGGCATGTGGAATATCCATTTATAACTGAACAGCTATTAACGAATCAATCCCACACCAGTTATGTTTTAAGGGGTTATTTATTTGGCGGGGGGTAAAACTTACATACACCATAAACCGTCAGGAAGGGAGCCTAGTCGCTGGAGCAGGAGCCGGGAACAGCAGCCGAGACCGAGCACCGGAACCAAGAGCCGGAACCAAGAGAGACCTTATCCGGAACTGCTTCTCTTTTTATGTTTAGCACGTAGTAAGAAATTTATTGAATGAACTGGATGTGAACTAAAATAAAACCTACTTCTGCTATCATACATTTATTAAACTAGCTACTGATTTCTCCACTTTTGAAATCAGCTGATTAAGAAAGAATTTCCTTTTTATTTTAAACAGTACTATTCTGCAGAAGTTAGCTCGAATCGGGAAATATCCAGGCTAGTTAAAGATAAACAATTATTTTATTTATTGTAAGGGAAAAAATTCACAAAACAGCAAGAAGTCCAAGCTCAGCCATGCTGCTAGGGAACCAGAGAGAGGGTACCTGGGCCATATGCCCCATTTTCTCTGGGTCCCAGAAAGCCATACCCTAATTTCGTCCCACCTCTTGAAGATAATTGGTTAACAAAGCTTCCCCATCACTATTCATAGTCTTAATATTTTCTTGTTTCTTATCAACCTTCTTAAAGAATCAAGTAGGAGTATTTGTTACTTTTGTCTTATGGGTAGCATACTTTAAAGGCAAATAGTTCTTTTTTGTTTTCAGAAGTTTCTTGTGTGGCAGTTTTTCCCCTCCAAAAGAATAGAGAGAAATTCTGAAATTGACTCTCTATTACATACCAAACCATTATGAGACCAGACGGTAGTGGCACATTCCTTAATCCAGCACTTGGGCCGCAGAGGCAGGCGGATCTCTGAGTTTGAGGCCAGCCTGGTCTACAAGAGCTAGTTCCAGGACAGGCTCCACAGCCACAGAGAAACCCTGTCTCAAAAAACCAAAAAAAAAAAAAAAAAAAAGTCCATCTGATCCGGTAGTGCAGGCTTGTAATCAATCTCAGATGCTTGGGAGGTTAAGGCAGGAAGATCACAGGCTTAAGACCCATCTGAGCTGCAGTGTGAGTTTACGTCAGCCAACTGACAGAAAGGTCATGTCAGGTGATTGGATGCTTCTAGTTATTAAACCTTTCTATTTTCAGGTATCGGATGATAACAGAAGGCGGAGTCAGCATAAATCACAGACAGGTAACAAATCCTGAGAGTGTTTTAGTGATCGGACAACATATTCTCAAGAATGGACTTTCCTTACTTAAAATAGGAAAAAGGAATTTCTACATTATAAAATGGCTTCAGTTATGAAAGATTTTGTACAAAATTATCCATCATTTTTCAAATCATAGTGGGTTTTCAAAACCAAGAATGGAACAAACACAAGGTCTTACATTGTAAATACTTTTGTGCATTATTAAATAAATAAAGTGTTATTTAAATGTGTTATTCTTATGAAAGATCTAGCCATCTTGCTTCTTGGACTGATGAGGAAGTACAATGGAAATGTACAATGTGAAAAAGTACAAAATGGAAAAGTACAATATGCAATTATTCATTATGTAAGGCAAAGAGCACTTACTGGGTTCAGTAGTGCTACATAGTTCTATTAACTAGACAAGCTTCTAAGGTCTGTTTAGAAGTGAGAAATCAATTTGTGGCTTATGCTAAGAAGTAAACATAATTTTTAAAAAGACGTAGCAATAGTTTTTAATAGAAACTGTAATAAGAAAGTTTCTTCTCCAACAAAACACAAAGCAGTAACAGATTTCATTTGTAGTTCAGTTTTCCACATCCTTGCTTGTGTTTCAGTATTTTTACTCATAGTTTCTGCCAATGGGGTTCCTAAGGCAAAAATTTTAAGACATCAAAGAATAAAAGTATCTCGCTAAGTATGCAGTCACAAGAACAACAAAGTCAGAAGAAGTCTTGAGGCCAGGGTAGTTCATGTTTGTATATACTACGCAAGTTAATTCTCCAGAACTGATTCTGTAAAAACCAAGAGAGTGCCACCTGATTGTGCATGGGAGCAGTGAAACATGAAGTGTCGAGCAGCTTCTGGGTGTCTCACAGCAAAGTGTACTGCTCACATTCTGAACATTCACCCCTGGATTACTTGGAACAAGTTTCTGTTTTCAATCTGTAGACATGGAGATTAACAGGGCCTTGGTGGTGACAATGTAATAAGAAAAACGCCGTAAAACTTTTGGTGCAATATAAGTGAATTGTTAGGTTATGAAGTAGATAAACTGTTTTCTGAGGCATGTCTGGGAAAATTCATTTTCTGGCAAACTTTAATGTCATTTCATAGCAGCAGCTTTATTTACAGAGAAAGAACACAGTGATCTTATAAATACGACAGATTATCTTGTTTCTGAACACAACTCAGTGTAAAAGCACACAAAAGAAGCTTCTGCTTTCTTTGTACAAAGTGTGTAGTGCTAACAAGTACACTACTGTAGTATGTTTTTAAAGCTAGTATCTTCCATTTAAAATCTACTTGAAATGTTGAATAAAGGTGCATTTTCTCCCTATACAAATTCAGAAGGCTACAAGTAGTAGTCATCCCTCTTAAGAAATAAATCATGGATACCTAATAGTTGTCCAAGTGCTAACATAAGTAGGCAGTGTGCACTTCCTTTCAAGTTGGTACTGTTAATAGACTTGAGTACTGTATCATCAGATTGAAATGGACTCTTTTGCGTTTGAGATTGAGTGGGTATCATAAACTGATAGATAATATGTTCTTGTTTTCCTTGCTAATGTTTCGTAAAATGCCTGGTCATAACCTGAAAAGAAATTTTAGTGTTTTTAACACTAAACAAATAATAAACAAATGTATTATTTGGTTGGAGACAGAACTAGATACACCAAAGATTTTTACTTAGGTCTGAAAATTTTTTAATGCTTAATTTACACCATGAATTGTCCAGACAATTTTCACACAATATGTTGTAAACATGACCCTCAACCTCTGAATACATTCTAATAGTCTATAAGCTTTTAGGTGTATGTGTTATGTCGAAGTAGTTTTCTTTAAGAAACAAAGTTCCACTAGTGTTTTCATACCATCATTCTAATGTTTTCTCTTGGTGTGGAACTAACGTGGCTATTACCAATTTGTACAGAGTGGAATTTTAGGTCCGACCTCACTGTGAGTCTTGGAGCCCAATGCAGTTGTCCCACTTTAAAGGTGTATTTGAATTGCTGTTACTCTATTTGTAAACTATGGGGAATTTAGGTCACCACTGGATCTTTTAGAAATTAAAAGGACTGGCTATTATTACCAAGTACATTCCCAATAGTTTTTAATGTAGGAAGTAGTCTTCAGACTTAACCATGAATCAAAGTATATTTTAATTTTTAACACTACACAGTGTAGACTTTGAAGTGGATAAACCAATAACAGTCTGTTTCTACATCTTTATGAGTCTTTTGGATCTAAACAGCAAAGATTACAGAGTTTTGTTTTTTAAGACTATAAAAATGAAGGATAGGTGGGTACACTGATTATGTGAGGAACTTGTCAGGCTCCATCTTTTAAAGCCAGATCAGTCTATATAAATAGTGCATGCATTATAGTCATGAAATGTCCTGGAGCTTTCTGAGACTATGGCTGTAGCTTTAAGACTACAGAAAAGTTACAAGGGTCATCATCTCCACACGCAAACTGCTTTGTACAGCTAGAACATCCATTGTTCTTGTAAGCTTGACTGAGACAGACTTGATATACATGTATCATAGGAAACTTTAAAAATGTGAATTGTGTGATTTGTTTTGTAATACAGAGTATACTTTTCAGCTTATAGCCAATCTTCACACGAGCAAATTCATACGCTGTAATACACAAGAGTTCATAAATAAACTTCTACTCAGGTAGGTAGTAGCTACCAGGTTTAAGTCAACACAGTCTGGGTGTTAACAGTTCTGATCACCAGAGATGAGTCTCTCGGATTTCAGCAATAATTTGACTGGCTCCTTGTAATGCCTGCATTAAAAGAATAAAAACTCCAGTTAAAATGTTAATCTAAATTTTGTAAAGAAATGTCTCCATTTTCAATACTTAAAAGAAAGGCAGTATCTTCTCTGAAATTTGAATATAATCAAGTACTACTGGGTGGGGTGGAGGGCCAGATCAGAATGCAATTTAAAAATTTTTGAGAAAACTGGAAACAACTTAGTAGTTACCTTTAGCATATCAGCCGCTTCTTTCCTACGCTGTGCCATGTCCTCAGATTCAGTCAGAAGGTCATCTAATAAGGAAGACTTATACAGCTGACCTACTAATTCACTCTGAAGAGTATCTTTTACATGATTAACCAGAAAATGCATTACTGCCTTTGGGACACTGCAAAACAAAGTAAAATTATGAAGTTTTGGTAATAATTCTATTTTAAAAAAATTTAGACCAGTGGTTTTCAACATATGAGTCACAATCCCTCTGTGGGGGTGGCGAGGAGCCAAATGACTCTTTCAGAGCCATTGCATATCAGTTATTTACATTTTGATTCACAGCAGTAGCAAAATTAACTATCAAGTAGCAATGAAAATAATTTTACGGTAGGGAGTCACCACAACACGAGGAACTGTATTAAAGGCTCAGCATTAGAAGGTTGACAACCACTGCTCTAAAGAGTGTGGCTTTGTAAAAAAAATAAGAACACTGAATATTTAATACATTCACTCCAAGTAACATTAATCAAAACTACAATCTTTGAAAATAACTTATATATAAACACAATGACCACCATTCTTAACAGCCAAAACTGAAAATCAAATATCTATAATGTGGTGAGTTGATATAGTCAACTGTAAAAAGGAAGTGCTGATCCATACTGTAGTATGAATAAGCTTTAAAACAGTGACAAGTAGTCTAGATTTAAGGCCCGCTGCTTTACATGATAAATCCCATACCCAGCACCATTACTGGACCAAGAACCTATGGCTAGACAGGTCAAAGACCTTAGAAGATAACCTACCACTATTATACTAAATGGATATAGTATCAAAGCAGTTCATAATGCCTATCATTATACCTATAGATTGAGACACCTCTTAACCCTCATTGGAGAAACTTCGTTGTAGATGGTGATTTACATAGAGACCTGCAAGTGAATAAGACATCACACAATGTCCAGCATTAAATGAAGCACCTTTATCTCCTTCAAGGGTCAAGGATCATTGTGGAAGAGGTAGGGGATGACAAGGAAACTTTGCTGGACATAGCGGGGCCATCTGCAAATATGAACTCAGCTGTTGTGGCAGCACACACAAAACACTGCAAGCCTAAACCAGACCAAAATTCAGCATGATTAGCGTGTAAGGTCCAAAAATTCCATCCCCAGTAAAGGAGCTACTGGCAATTCTCAGCTGCTGGGAGAGAGAGTATAGCCCCTGTTAAGTCAATCAAACTCCAGCAGAAGGCCAGACATCCAAAAACATTAGGCAGCACAAATAGGCCTTGACTGAGGAAGGAAAAACAAACACATATTTGGGTGAAATCCGGGAAGAGTTGGGGGAGGGAGAGTGAAAATGACCACAACACAAGGTTTTCTTAAATTTTTTTAAAAGGGGAGGGGCACCCACAAATGAAAGAAGCCAGACAAAAGGGCACATATTATTGTGTTTCCACTAGCATGAAATATCTAATAGGCTAGGTCATAAATGTTATGTATTAGAAGTGAGGCAGATAGGATGTTATTACTGGCAAAGGGTATACTTTTATACTGAATAAAATCTAACCACATCAACTGTGGTTTTCAGTTTTTTTCACAGCACCATGGGGGACTGAATCCAGGGCCTCATTAATACTGTACTAAACTAATTCTATACTGTATATAGCATGGAACCCTTCTCTAATTTGTTTTCAGACTGGTGGGGGGCATTTCAGGCTGGCCTTCTATTTGTGATCATTCTTCTTAAGGCTGAATCTTTCTATATCTATGGTTACAGACATACATTACTATTCCTAGATCCTCTTATTTTAAAACTTTTTTCTAGCTGATACATAATATCCTAATAATTCCATGTCTATTGACATGGAATGCTACCACACTTCCATAAGACAGTCTTGCTACCACAGTTAAGTTTTGGAATCAAAGCTAGTCTAAAATTTTTAATGTATGATTTTATGAAACAGATCATGAACTCACCCAGCAATATTTATATATTAATACTGACCTGTCTTGAATATTCTTTCTGACAATTAGAAAATATGACTTGATGAGTCTTTCAATAACCTCGCAGTCCCGCTGCTCACGGGCAGACAGCTTTCGTGCAACTGGAACAGGCTAAAAGGATTAAGGGAAAATATTACTTCTGTGTCATTCTGAAATGGCAACACTTAATATTTAAAAGTTAAAAAATTTTTTGAGACTTTAGTTTCTTCTGTTTACAGAGAGTCTGCTACTAACTTGGTACGTCTGTAGATTAAGTCAGATTGTTATGACTTACCACATCC